GTAAGATAAAACAAAAACCTACCCAATATCAAAAATTATTTTGAACATTTGCTTATTCACAATAATTTATTAATATTCTACAATAAAATTAAATTTTGAAAATTGTGAAATAAGTTTACACATAACAAATAGTAAGGTAATTACAGTAATACCTTCAAATTTGCAGCATTAAAGGCTGCAGTCATATATTCATATCCAACACCATGCATAGGAGTGTAAGTAAATTTTAAAATTGTATTTTTATTTACTTCTGGATACAAAACAGTTTCTTTAAGATCATTAAAGTAAGATTGCATAATATTATTCCATGGATCTACGTATAAAGAACTGTTATAGACTTTTGTTACATCCCATGAGGATTCAGTGGGTTCAAGATTTTTAAGTATGTATTTTTGGATATTATTATCATGTGGTGATATTATTTGTGCACCATTTTCCCAATAAACTTTATAACCATTATCATTTTTAGGATTGTGAGATGCTGTAATCATTATTCCAGCTGCACACTTATATTTTAATATACCATAAGGTATAAAAGGAGTTGGAACAACTTTTGAAAAAAGATATACTTTTATATTCTTTGCCACAAAAATTGCAGCAGTCAATTCTGCAAATCTAAAGTGATATTGTTAAAACCTTATAGCATTAATCACATATAAATACAGACATGTACAATATAAATTATGTAAATTTTATAATGATTAAAATTTGTAAATTAAATCTTTTTATCAACCTTTTACTGCAATGACGTCCATCATATCCTATTATAATGCCTTTCTCAGCAATATCAACTATAGCATCAGATAAGTACATTGATAAACCTTGACCAGTCTGAATTATAACTAAATCATTCATTTGGCTAAATCCTGGACCCATACAACCTCTTAGACCAGCTGTACCAAATTCAAGCCTTTTTAAGAATAAATTAGATAAAATTTTGTTATTATTGTTACAGATAAGCTCTCGAATTTTATGTTCAGCATTTTGGTCCTAAAATGTATCAAGTATAATTTACAATCAACATAAATATTTGAAATGTAATATAAAACATGAATTGTATTTATAATATTGTTAACATAAAAACCTTATTCCACTTTAACCATTCATTGATTTTATTATCCAAATCAATACATCCAGTATCAATAGAATGTTTTGCAGCCATGTTACAAATATTTTTCAGTATAAGGTAACCTAAGACATAATAAATAATTATAAATAAAACCTCTAATATACTATACAAATTAATTACATTTTAAATGATTAATAGTACGTAATAAAAAGATTAAAAAAAGTTACAAAAAATGATATATTTTTATAATATGAATACAACGCGGCTGAACTTACGATCACAAACGATCATCAATGATCGGCAATAATCGACTGATTATCAACATATATCGCATGAGTATTTTGCTGTGGTTGAGTTTAAACAGAAGCAGAAAGAAGCTATGATAACTAAAATAGTTTACAAACACATCCAAAAAAGCATTAATATTTAAAAATTATTAATACATGTTTTAAAGAGAAGTATATGTAATTATCAAATATCAAGAAAACTACAATGTAGTCGATAAATTCATTTAATCTAATTGATAATTAAAATATTCACAGGTAGAATAAAGTATTCTTTAGATAATAAGTGAATTGATATTATAATATATGCCCAAAACTCGTGAAATGGAACCTTCATAAAGATAATCTGAATGGTGGGTTAGAGAGGACAAATTCCATAGATGCAACTAACCTATTATCACCACATCATACCAGTAACGTAAGTCAGTTCGTCCTTCCCATCTGAATTTTCGTTAAAATTCAGTTCTGTGGTCATTTTGAATTTGATTTACGAATGAAATATATAAAATGATTATTTACAATTCGTAAAGTCATTTTTGTGTTGTAAATAGTGATTTTTTTCATACATGTAGGGTGCGTGCAAGAAGTCTTTTCAGGTTGTGTTTTCACTTGAAGCAGAACATACTTACATATGCGATAGTTTATACAAACGGCTAAAATTTTTATCTTTATTCATGCTCTCTTTAGTATGCAATTATTAGTAATTTAACTGGCGATCAATGATGAAAAATATTATTAATATTAAAATGTAATTCTATAAGAAAAAAGTTATATTGTAATTCATTATATAAATTGATATAATTATTAGTAGATTTGTATTATTCTTTTAGTGTGAATGAAATTCAAGGAATATACATTTTGTTTTGATTCTTGAAAAGCAAAACAATGATTAAAACTGTCCAAAGATTACTCTGGCATAAATGTAAGGCCTATCATACAGCAGAAGTGAAAATGTATAGACTTTTTATTAAAGTATTATGAACTTTGTGAATAATAGGTAA